ACAGAGTTACTGATTCTTAATACCCCAAAAGTTTCAAAATTAACTTCTTCAGGTTAATTGAAGGCAACTATTTATTATTGCTGGTGTTAAGTCCCACACATGAGAACTCTCTCTTGAAAGCGCCAAGTGATTACGGCAAACAGAAAAGACACTACAGATTCCTATCTTCTCAACCCTAGACTTAGAAAACACAACCCTACATGTGACTTTTAATTTGAAAACATTACCGGATCCTAAAGGAAGAAGTATGTCCATTTCATCCATATACTGAGGTATGATGCCAAGCAAGTAAACACTCATGTCTTTACAACTTCAGATAATTCTAGGTGACAACCACTGCTAAATTAAAACACACCTGGTATACTCTGACTTGTTCTTGTACTCATGTGAACTGCCACTGAAGTCCAACGGTCTGTGACTCTATACAACATAAACAGAAGACTGGCAACAACAACAAAAATCCCTGATAGAACAACAATTCAAATAGGACAAACCAAATCCTTTGGGATTCTATCTCCTTTATAGTGAAGTTTCAATTCAACAAACAGGCATTAAGTGATGTGTAAAAAAAACAAAAATTAGGTGAGATGCTAAACAACAAAACAATGTGAATGAGCTTTTGGGAAGGCTGCACTCCTTCCCAGGTGAGATTTAATCCAATGATGACAACAGGGTACAATACTATGAGATTAGAAGTATGTGTACCCTCATAAATAAATACAAAAAACATCTAAAATGTGACTTAATAGGCAACTCACAAAAGAATACAGAAGTCAACAGATCAAACCATTATTTGCCTTTCAGGTCAGTATATATCAAAAGGCTAACAATACCCATTGTTGGTTGGAGGTATGGGGAAATGGTTGCTCACTTATGCAATTACTGGGTTTCACTTCTGTAGAACCATATGAAAAGATGGTTGTTTAAAACCCTCCAAAACTGCATATCCTCTGACTTAGAAATTGCACTGATTTCAGTGAATGAGTAGACTGTTCAACTAACCAAAAGAAAAATATATAAGAAATAAATTCAACTTTAGGAAAACGGTAACTTTAGTTTGATAAATTTCAGAGAGAGATAACTAGTAGGCAGTTGGATATGTAACTAGCATTTACTCAGGATATATACTAGTCTTCCATACGTTATTTCATTTAACCCTCCCAAAACTCAAACGGAGATGTACCCAGAGGCAGGCACAGGACTCAAATACAGCTCTTAACCCAAAATTCTTAAATCAATAGGCTCCTCGGTCTCCAAGGGCCTGGCACCTGACAGAAAGACCCTAGGTAGAAATACAGATTTGCAAGTTTATTTCTTTCGCACATTTATTAGTAGAAATTTGTTAGTACCTAATGTTACACCTAAGGATATAAAGATAAAGTGACACTTCCTATCCTTAGAGACCCATGACGGACAGACATGAAAACAAAAAACTACAATACAGTGTGACAGTGCCACAGAAATAGTCAAGAGGAATAATACTAACCCCAAAAGAAGGAGAGAGTAGTCAGTTCTGCATTGGAAGAATAATCATCGAGGAAGCTTCTAAAAAAGGGAGACAATGCCTGTCCAGGATTTCAAAGGTCAAATTAAAAAATGAAAAAAATCTCCCAAGTGTACTGGGAAAAATAGGAATAGAGGGCCACCCCAGAAAAGGGAGTGGCATATATAAAAGCACCAAGGCCCAGAACAGCATGGTCAGTTCAAAAACATGCATGCAGATCACCACAGTGATTAACAGACAGTACCCGTCAACCATTCCAAACTCCACTCCCACCCCTCTTTCTTCTGATGCTGAACAACAGGACAGAAGAGATAAAAAGTTTTCTGCTCTCTTGAGTCTCATTTCCCAAAGAGAAGATCTACTCCTCTAACCTCCTCTCCAGAGAACTGGAAAAAGACAGGACTACCTTGCTCATCAGAAGGAGCAGTGACATAGTGACCACTCTATCAAAAACAGCTCCCCAACAGCATTGCTATCAACCGCCTTACCCAGGCTTTTATTGTCTTGGTGGCATTTATTACTATCAAAAATGACACTGTCCAGTCATTCTTTCTTTGTTTATTGCCTGTCTCCCTCATTATAATATAAACCCCAACAGGCCCTGGGCCTTGTCTGCTTTATTTGCCACTGTATCTTCAACAGTGCCCGGCACAAGAAGACACACCCTGCAAGTATCTGCGGGATGAATGTGTATTGCTTTATCTTAGCCAACATGTAGCAGATTTTAAAAATTAAAACAAATCAAGGTAACATTTCACTTGTATAAGATACTCAATACTTTCTTTAATATTTAATAGTATTTCCATGCCCCCCAAAACCATCTAATGCTCTAAATAGCATCCCTAAGCCCCCAATTCTTTTTTTCACTACAGAAAATGTTTGAAACAAAAAGTCTCCAAAATTAACACCTAAAGAGTTTAACTCTGTTCTATTCCCACCCAGGTATTTCTTTAGTGTCTTTGGACCAAAGAGAAGAGCTAGCAAATATGGATAAAGTGTTACACCAACTACAAATGGATGTTTTGTTTCAATGAAACATGTTTAAGGAAAAATGGAAGGAAGCTATTCCATGCTTAAGGAAAGAAAACCAAGTCCTGCTAATAAAACAAAAATATCCAAGGTAAAAAGAAAAAAGTGATTAATGTTATTAGAAAATAGATAAAGCATGATCTCTGTAAGAAGGTCACCAATTTTTAGACATTTGTATTACTGATGATAGCTAACTCAGAGAGACAGGACTTGCCCAAACCACGTTACATAAAATGTCTAACAAGGTATTTATTATCTTTTGCAAGCTGTTTATCCAATTGGCCGTTTCACTTTAGGGTTCTTTTGAGCCACCTACCACCCTTTTCAGAATCACAGATTTCAGACTCCTTGTGTCGCAGATGGGATGGTCTTTTTCCAGCTTATAGAGGGAACCAGTACCACATGCTTAGCAATGCCATTAGTAACCTGATTAAAGGTTTTGTTACTAATAGTAGATCAGGACTCAAGAAGCAACTTCACAGGTCCATATACTGTGAAAAAATTGACTATGAATCTATTTCAAGACTCATAAAGGTTTGAGTAAGATCTAAATGTTGCCTTGCCAAATCCATTTCTCAATATAAATGCCATGTACCATTTCACCACGAATCCACTCTAACACTTTTTATATGGGAGTTACAAAAAGGAGGCTTTATACCCCTCTCGGGATAAATTTATTTCCCTCAGCCAAGTGTTAACACTAATAAATGGAGGGTTTACATGTAATTCTTAAAAGCGGACAGATAGAAATTACCAACCATGCTATGACTTTTTAACTAGGCATTTTGTTTAATCACCCTTGAATAACAGGGCAATTTAAAAGGTGCAATTTTTAAAAAAATACAACATACAAATTTTGCTCCAGAAATTTAAAGCAAACTTTCTAGCATTGTATATTCAAACAAATGTTTTTGGATGTTTGGGGGTTTTTGCTTTTCCAGAGTAGTCACTGGAAGCGACTAATTAACACCTCTTCAATCAATACTGCCATTTCTCAAAAATATTTTGTACCACATATCTGAGAACTTTCTCAAAATCAGTTTATGAACTATGTCCTTTCAACAAACAAACGGACTTTATACCAAGAAAATGTCCATTTACTCACAGGCCAAAGCAGACAATGAATAGGCTAAATGGGGAGATTCTTTTTGTTTGTATCAACTGCTCATTGGTGACCCAGCAACCTAGAACTGCATTCTCTTCCCTGGGTTCCAGCAGAGTCTGGTTAATAAGAACCAATTCTCTGATAAGTATTCCTTAGAAAAAATAAATTGAGACTTAATCAAAGACAGAACTTACATTATTACAAACCATAATAGCTAGTTTGTGGTAATTTGTATTACCATGTTATCAAAATCATGAATGAAAAAGGGACATTCCTTTTAGAAAAATGGATCCCTTTGCCCAACGATTATACTTCAGAAAAATAAAATCAACATTTCTTCACATACAAATAAAATGAAGGTGGCTATATAGAAGGTCTCAACTGATCAAAGAAAAATGAAATGGCTCTAAAACCCATAAATAAATACATCTCATATAATTAGTTAATGTTTATGATGGAGTTTAATCACACGAAATAGGGCCACTTAAGAAAAATGAAAAGGTAGAAAACAAGAAATCTCATATGAAGAGTCAAAGATTCACATATTCTAAACTTTTTTTCACCAGTTAGAAATACTCTAATCTGGGGGCGCCTGGGTGGCTCAGTTGGTTAAGCGACTGCCTTCGGCTCAGGTCATGATCCTGGAGTCACTGGATCGAGTCCCGCATCGGGCTCCCTGCTCGGCAGGGAGCCTGCTTCTCCCTCTGACCCTCCCCCCTCTCATGTGCTCTCTCTCTCTCTCTCATTCTGTCTCAAATAAATAAAAAAAATCTTTAAAAAAAAAAAAAAAGGAATATTCTAATCTGCCAAATACAAGGGCAAATGGCTGATATCACATAACTGCCTCGAACACCTTCATATTCCAACTTGGCTGATAAATCAGGAGGAAGTTGATTACAAATCAGTCTGTGACTGTAGGCTCAGCACAGTTCGGCTACCTTTAAATGCACCCCCTTTTAATTTTTTATTATACAAAAGAAGCAAAAACAAGAAAATACCATTCGTAAGCCCACCAACCAAACATAAATAACCACTATTAACACTTTGCTGTATTGAAACCGTCACCTTTAAGATACCCTCCTTCTTTATTCCCCGGCCTTCCTTCCACTGACTTCCCTCCTAAACATCTCAGTATCGAATTACTTGGAAAACCATTATATGCTCACCAAGAAAACACCTTTCTGCAAGAGCTGAGCACAGGGGTCTCCTAGAGCAGAGCCCCACGTGTGCTCCCGTGAGAAGCACGAGAAGCCCGCCCGCACACGCAGGCGTTGGGAGCGGGGGCCTGCCCCTGGCCTGGGGCCCTGGGACCACCACGGGAGCGGCTCCAGGCACTCCAGGACTCCCGCAAACACCACTTACTGTGCCGGGCATGTGACTTCTCTCATTCTTCCCATTCTGAGAGCTGCCGTTCTTGAGTTTCTTTTTCTTCTTGGCTGTTTCTTTGTGCTCTTTCTGTTTGTTTTGCACTTCAATGAGAACAGAAATAAAGCTATTTTTCACTTCCTTTTCAAACTCCAGTTCGTCTCGCAGGGCCAACTGCTGCACCAGCTCTTCAGAGAATTCCTTGATGGCAGTCTCAATTTCTTCCAGTAGCTCATTTAATTCAGAGACTGAGAGCCTTTTTACTCCTGTGACCAAAAGCAAAGCACAGCAGATACTAAGATGAAAAGTGTTTCAAGAGAGTGGTGTTTTACGCCAAAAGAGCGAAGATCATATTCTAAACAATTAAACTGTGGGAGATCTTCTTGTAATCCTAAAACTTCTGGTGGGCAGGTCTGAGCAGAGGTAGGTGGGCAACTTACTCCTCAAAGGCTGAGGAGTGTAACAACATTCTTTACTTGTCTAACTCAATCATTCCACGAACAGCACTCCAGTCAAGACAGAAAAAAGCTCGTACAAGGAAAAGAACAAACACAAAAGCCAAGGGAGAGTACAGAAACTACCTGCTGACAAGAAACTGCACGCAATTTAGCAGGGTTCTAGCACACTTCAGAAGATAGATAGAAGTTGAAGTGAAAAAATTAAATACATACTTGATCACATGTGCCCCGATGTGTGAATTTTTTTTGAAGACTGGGAAGATGAAAGGAAAGACTATTCCCTGAAACCCGCTTTCAGTTTTTTCTCAGCACTTCTCACGTGAGTGAGGCTAGGACATCACTGAAGCCCTCCTCCAGTATGAGTGGTGTCTTACAAAATGACAAGATTAGGGCAGAGACACACACAGAGCAAAGGCCATGTGACGACAGAGAAGCCCGCCATTTACAAGCTAAGGCGAGAGGCCCCAGAGGAAACCAAACCTGCCCACACCTTGATCTTGAACTTCTAGCCTCCAGACCCCTGAGACAATAAATTCCTGTTGTTTAAGCCCTGGACATGTGGGACTTTGTTAGAGCAGCCCAAGCCATCTAATACAGAATTCAAAGGTGAAAATGACAAAGTCCCTGAGCAATGATAAAAATACGCCCGAGCATTGTTGGAGGGCTGAAGAAGGGTGTGTATCACAGCCTATGAGAGTCAGAGCTTTCTGGAGATGGTCTGAGATACACAGGAAGTATGAAGAGCATGAATTTAAGGAGCGTGTCTTACTCTCTTCATAACTGCTTGTGCTGGACCTCTGAAGAGTCTGGATTTCCTGGGACAGCATTGACAGCCGATCTGACTGGGTGGGCGTTTCATCATCTTCTGGGTCTGGAGATTCCTGCATCATTTCTTCAATTTCTTCGATAACCTTCCAAAATGTACATACCACTGTTACTCAGAGGCACTTGGGAAAACAATCTATCTGCACACGGTGCTCCCCTGAAGCAACCAGAGTAGAAATGCACTAAATTCTCCACTAACCAGCGGTGTGCAGGAGGAGCTGGTGTTCCGAATAATCAAAATTTTGCTTGCAAGAGTGAACATGATTAAAAAAAAAAAAAAATTTACAATATGCTAAGCACAAAATTAAACAGAGTATGATTTAATGTCCATCATGATTCAGTAAGCCCTATCAGATCTTGCAATGTCTGAGAAACGGTACAAAAACACACATATAATTTACTTCAGATGTGTTAGAACCAGATCATATAGTCAAAAGAAAGCAAATGACAGAAAATATACCATATGCCACATGCCAGGGCTCAATCTAAAGCACTTCATCAAACTGACATAAAATTTAAAAAACAGAACAGTATAAAAAATTGGTACGTAAAGCAAAAAATTACCTCTACGACAGCAAAATTTTCCTTTAACAGCAGAAAAAGAATTTCACATATTAATTAATGGAAGATTAAGAAATACTCAAAAATTACTTGAAGTGTAGAAGCTTAAAAGAGAAAAAAAAAAGGCTGCACAGAAGCAGGAAAATTTCAGAAGTCTCTGTCTTTCAACCAATGATCCACTGTCGTGTGCAACATTGCTCGAATCTTATGATAGTATCTTGTACTGCTCCACATTGAAAAGTTGAGAAGGATACAGAAGTCAGTGAGAACTTAAAACTAGAAAAATTACTCAACAGTTAGAAAAAAGAGATCTAAGAGTTAAAAAAAAAACTATTAGAAAAAATACAGGATGAATCAGCAAGCTTAAGATGTAATACTTGTACTGAGGAGAAAGAAGAGTAAATCTGGGGGAGGCGGGGATTATGTTAATTAGTAAGCAGATTTTCTCAAATGGGCATTGTAAAAAAGCACAATGAAACACTGGAGAAGAAGCAGAGTCTACTTCACTATGTCTTGGGAGCAGGAACAGCTTACGGCATTCAGGCAGATAGATCACTGAGGAGACAACGGATCTCAGGGTCACGTATTTCCCTGGGATATCATGCTCCACCTCCCACAGCCCTCTACCCCATTATCTGGCATTTTAAGCACTGCACTCTTTCCAGGCCTGGAATAATCCAACCACAAATATGACGAAGGAGCATCAACATGGCACATGTTTAATAGACCCCTCTCAACCTTGCCATAACTTATCTCTTTATTGACCTCATCCTTCCAGCCTAAAAATTTAATGTGGGAATGTTCACAGTCAGAGTAGCCGCGGAGCATGTTATTTCAGGAAGAAGTTCTTGTACCGCATTTTGACAACACAACACAAGTGGGACGAGTATTCAGACAATGAGAAAGCTGATTCAAGTGGTTTAAATGGATACAGGGCTGACATTATTAGAGTATTCCACAGGAATAAAGCTCACTTCTTTCTGGGCGCATAATATGTACTTCTAATAAGTGCTAATAATTTTTACACAGGCTTTTAGAGAGAGTAGGTAATTCCCGCACAGATACAGTATAGTTTGCCATGTCTTGCTAACTCTAAAAAAACGTACAAAATTCCCAGTATTTTTTACGATTTCAGTTGAAGCAATAATCCTCCCTTAGTAACTTGCTGTTACTGTTTTAACAAGGCCTATACTGGGAAAGTGCCTATATTGAAAAATCTTCCCAACTAACATAATCCCGTCTGCTTCAGATTACATATACCTTCTTCTTTTCTCAGTGGAAGAGTTAACTGATAAGTCTACATAAACAGAAAATGCAGGAAAAATAAGTAAATTCCAACAACCCGTCACTTATTGCCACAGTAAAAAACTGTGTTTCAGGGCGCCTGGGTGGTTCAGTTGGTTAAGCGTCTGCCTTCGGCTCAGGTCATGATCCCAGGGTCCTGGGATCGAGTCCCGCGTCGGGCTCCCCGCTCAGCGGGGAGCCTGCTTCTCCCTCTGACCCTCTCCTCTCTCATGCTGTTTCTCTCTCGCTCGTTCTCCAATAAATAAATAAATAAAATATTTAAAAAAAAAAAAAAAGAAACTGTGTTTCAGCTCGAGGTTCCCTTTTTCTTTCCTGGACCAATGTCTCCTCTATACCTGATCCGCAGTGAAGAGGGGCTCTTCATTAACGCAGGAGACGATGATTGAATGCATATCCAGCTGTTCTCTCAGCTCCTCATCGTCTGATGTATCAAAGAGCAAACTGTCACTTATCTAAAAGCAAAATAACCCACTGTTAAAAGCAGGACATCCTGATCACAACGAAGTCACAGTGTCTGGGTAAAGAAGAGTCTTCCCTCGGAAGGGAGAAATGATTACGATCACTCCCTGCCCGGCAGTGTGTGAAGGGCTTTACATATTCATCTCAAACACAAGGGCGGGGGGGAATGGAAAATAAATAGGAAATTGCTGAGGTGCCGCACGCATCCCCTAATGCCCAATGCCGACACACACTTAGCTGCTTTTCCCTGGGGAAGAGTTTCATATATAGTATTGGTTAGAAAGTCATAAGGAATTATAGGAGACGGGGGAGGGAGGTAATGGGCGGGTTTAGCAGCAAATGTGATTTAGTTCACAATCTAATAGTAAGATTGGTATATGTTAAATTCCACAGATAACATAAAGTTAGTTACTTCCAAACTAACTTCTAATATTCAGGATAAAAGCTTAGGATTCGACTCCCTGGCACTGTCCACGAGAGTAATACTTTGCCTTAGAGGTGAACATCTCTTCTTCCAAAAATAAAATCTCTGCAGGTTCCAAGAACATCTTTCAACCTAACTGTGCTGGAGGTTTCCATTTGCCTCACTGCCATTTTCCACCCTGCTCTGGGCCTCAGGAGGCTCAACTTTATGGACTAAATCAAAGGATGCCCTTGACTTCTGGCTTCCAGTTGGGTTAAAAACGACTGGCAGACACTAGCAGGACACTGGAAGGAGGGAGGGTGAGAGCCGGACAGTCATTCCACTGTCTCCCTCCTCGCCAGACTACCAAAAAGCAGCAGATCTTGTCAAGCAGACCTCTCCCCCACAGTTACTCTGTCTAGGTTCTGGTAACTTCTTCCTCTCCTTACCTCTTCGTGCCCAGGGGTGCTATTGCTTGCTTGTTGCCAGCCCTGGGTTATCACACCATGCCTACCTAGCTGGTGTCCCTTAACCTGCCCACACCGATAATCCAAGAATTTAGTACTCATCCTAATTGCAAAGCCATATCTGAAAAACACAGCAGATGAAAATGGACAAGTGATCATCTACCTATCATCTATCTACCATGATGTGACGATTCAGATGATGAACAGAACTAAAACTAAAGCTCTTGTCTTCAGAAAGGAGTACCACTCACGGAGTTCCTGAAGAATAAATGGGCAACAAGGAGCTAGGTAAAGGGCAACCATGCATTTCTCTGAGGTAGTATATAATCTAAAGAATAATATTTTACCTGAAAAAATTATTTTACTTGCCAGGGCAGAGGATATACGTAAAATTGAAGACACAATTGAGGGGATGTAGGTCCCTACTGCCTCCCTAGTTCCTCATGCAGGAGCATCTGAAGTGTAACGGAATACAACCCACAGAGTGAGAAGGGCAAGGGACCACTGGCGTGCTGCCTTTCAGAATGTCAGGCTAGGAGGGGAGCCACATCAGGGCTCCTACCACAACATGCATCCATGTTGTAACTCAGGGATGACACACCTCCTCAGTCTAGTCTTCACCGCGCCATCAGCCTAGGAAAGGCCTGGACATGGCCTTCAGTGTATCATTCTGAACTTTCAGAACACTGTGAAAAAAACAATCTAAAAGCTTCCAGGGAGAAAAAAACCATCACATTAAAAGGATCAAGAATCAAAATGTCTTTTGAACTCTCTACAGCAACAAAAGAGGTGAGAAGAAAAATCAATGTTTTTCCATGTTTCAATAAATTTCAGCCTAGAATCCTATCTCAAAGTACTTAACCTCATAAACCCTTTCTCAGAAAGCTACTGCAGAGTAAGTTCCATTAAAACCAGGAGGAAAACCAGAAAGGAAGCAGGCCTGGGATCTAATACTGGAAAGAAGTGGGGGAATTCTTACAACGATGGTGAAGTAAAGATCCCACAATGATGGCTGTGAAGCTCACCTGGAGAGTAAACAGTTCAGATGACCACTGTTACTGCACGAAAAGTACTAAACTTTTCGAGAAAAGTACCCGAGAAACAGAGGGAGAGACACTAACAGATTCTCTGGTGCATGTCACTTACTAAAATGAGTTTTATGGCTCTGTGGAGGCTGAATTTATGAGTTATTGATAGCTTAAATGAACCACAAAAAGGCAATGATTATTACCCTAAGAAAAAAAAAACAAAAAAAATTACAAGAGGAAATTTACTCATGATGTAACGAAATGGGTCAACTGTGAACATTTAAACAGTCAATATAAATGATGAAGATTAATTTAAACAAATATTTTTATATAATTATTTTGGGAAGACAAGGGAAGGGAAAGTTTTCGTGAGGGTTATGCTGTTGAGGGTTGGAAGGAGGACTAAGAGAGACCTAAACCTCACCCTCTGGGTGGAAAGCAAATGGATAAAGTCTAAAGTTGAAAGAAAAATTAAGTAAAATGATGAGAGCATGTTACCTGTCAGAAGAAACAGTTCAAGGAGTTGAAAGTGGCTGCCTCTGGTAAATGGAAAGCAGTGGAAAGGATGGGGTAAGGAGGGCAGAGGCTGCTTTTTCATGCTAAGTCCTATACTAGTCCTAGTACTTTTTAAACCAATGCAGTTATCCTTTTAATAAGGAATGTGAAAGATCAAGAGCTTAGGCTCTTGGTGAGAGAGAATGTTTGACTTCAAGATTATAGAAGTGGGGATGAAAAGTGCCAAAATCTAGTTATAAGGGTGTATGGATGATGGGGATAGACCTAGCAATTATCTTCACAGATCCTTAAATTTCAACACTTCCCAAAATCAATCTTCATTATAATTGAGGACCATAGATTTATTTTCCCCCTTACAGACAAATCAAAGTTTTCATTTTAAAATGACTCCTAAGGAAGATATGATCTTCTTCCTGCCTCTGCTCTTAAAGATAAAAAGGTGCATAAAACAAAGTCCCTGTCCTTGAAAAAACGCTCATGGTAGGAGGAAGGAGTCGGCACAGGAGATGTTCCTAAGACAATATGATTTACAAGCCTTCTACTATATGAGCATATTCGAAAATGGCACTGGACTTAGAAGAGTTTTTATAGCTATGGCCAAAACACATGAGTGATACCAGTAAACCATTAGAATAAACTTCCATAACAACAAAAATAATGACCCCAGATCATCTTTCCAGGGACTGAGCCAAGTCCATTCCCCACAGAGATGGCATATGTTAAGGGCTGGAATCCCTTTCGGCTTTGAAAACTAACCTTGGCTGTCATGGGTATCATCGTTCGCTCTCCCATTTCGGCACCAGTGTGTCTTCTCTTTGCCAGGCATTCCCATCCCTCCTTCCTGTGCCAGGTTAGATAAAGGGCCGGTGGCTCTACTGACCTGTCTGGAACTAAAACTGCTTCAAATGGGAAAAATGTGCCTACGTAAGAATCCGGAATGTACTAGTTGCCTTACTGTAGAAAGACTCATCAAATTTAGGGGCGTGCCATCTTGAACCTCAATGAAAGAAAAATTAAAAGCTGAAATGTGGCAAATGGTGGCTTTCCTGAATGTTTTTCTCATCCTAATGCAAAAGAAATGTTTTCTCCCTTCATCAAGAAAAAAATTTCCAAGGGCGCCTGGGTGGCTCAGTCGGTTAAGCAGCTGCCTTCAATTCAGGTCATGATCCCGGAGTCCTGGGATCGAGCCCCGCATCGGGCTCCCTGCTCAGTGGGGAGCCTGCTTCTCCCTCTCCCTGCCACTCCCCCTGCTTGTGCTCTGTCAAAAAATAAATAAAATCTTAAAAAAAAAAAAGAAAAAAGTTCCTATAGATCCTATTTCACAGATGGAATAACCTAAAGGACGCTTTCAAAGGCAAATTCAACACAATTCAGTTATGGAAAGAATAGAGCACAGAATAGGCAACGCTAAATAAAATAACTCAGGTTAAAAAAAAATGTAATAATATGCTAATAGAATGAGAAGGTCACTTCTTACACAGTTCCATGTTCTTCAGGAACTTAATGTGCAGTTACTCCTTCCTGAGGAATAGAGTTCTAATTTCAGTTTACTCATCACCTGGGTAGTTGTGTCACAATAGGTAGATGACAGATGGATGATCACTTGTCCACTTTAATCTGCGGAGTTTTCCAGATAAGGCTTTTATAATTAAGATCAGTTACTAGTACTAAACTCCAAGTCATTACTAATCACTACCCTTGGCTATACCATTACTCTAGCATTGAAAACAACAATCAGAAGGCAGAAAAAGGGAGGGACTTCCCAAGATGCAATCTAAGAACAATAAAAGATATACATTTTATTCAATGAAACTAAATTACAGTGTCCCATTCATGTTGCTAATGCACTTCAGTTTGAAACCATAAAAGGATCTCTTCTATGCTATTTTTTAATACGTCAGACAAAAAACATACTCACTGACTGGCTATCATGGATTTAGCACTATGTTAAATGATACAGAAAATACTATTTTTTAAAAAAGAATTTTCCATCATATTCTCTAACCTTAGGGTCTCAATGACAAGATTATTCATTCATTCACTCAACAAACATTTGTCTTAGTACTCACTACATGCCAGGCACAGTGGCAGTTACTGAAAAGACTAAAAAGATTTGCTACCAGCAAACTACAATCTAATGACAGACCCTGAAACAGGATTAGTAAGAGAACAAAGTAATGGTTTGAGACATGGACAAAGTGCTGTGGGGACCAGTACCCCGGAGACAACAGGACTAAATTCTGTGGGACAGATAAGTCCTTGAAGATTTTCACACCTCCACCAGTGTAACCGACTCCCACAAAGAGAGCTGCATTTTCCTGCCACACAGAGATTGAGGCCATGGCTACATGGCCATCTGTCAGAGAGGCTGCAGATGGGGATTCCCCCCCAAGTGAGAGGCTGGATTAAGTGTCCTTTAAAGTTGCTTCCAACTCTAAAATTGTATAATTCCATGAGATCAGCAAAGGCTAAAACAGTAATAGGAAGCTTCAGAGAGGAAGGGAAACTTGAACCACGCCCAAAATGATAGCTAGGGTCTAAATAAACAGAAGACAGAGCATAACATATGTTGTTTTATTCCTTTTCACGAAACGTATGCCAGGTCAGTCAGCAGAATAGCTTGGTGGGGTTAATAATACTGTAATAGTAATTATATACAGTAAGATTTCTCTATCTACTCGAATACTGGGAAATACAGACAGAACTCTGTATTTTACTAGAAAATAATAGGCAGCACGCTGTCCTGAGCCATATATTTGAGAAAATCGTTTTCATAAAACATTAACAATACTATTTAACATACTGACAGCCCCAATGCATTACACTCTCAATTACACAAATACACTTAATGAAACACGGAGCATGCCAAAAGGTCTGGCATGAGTTTACATTGTTATATGATAAAGAACTTAAACAGCCCCTGAAACTTACATAACTTGGCTGTTTCTTGTCACCTTTAGATAAACCTAACACTGCTCTTCCACTTAAAACAATGACCTTCCCTCTTCTATTTCCTCCCCACCCCCACCCCGGCTGTCCCATCACCTGTGCTCACACTTCTAACCCAAGGCACCTTCACTTTACAATCCCAAGGAATCCCCAGCAGCCTCGAACAGGTAGCCAAGAACTCTAAGGTCTTTTAAAGGTTCTCCAATACTCACAGGAACACACAGTCTTCAGAAAACATGTCATTTCCAGCACGTCCTTAAATTCATCAGAAAGTTAACTCGATGCTGTTTTTCCAGACACTCAATATATTACCCAGTTTTCTCAGCACACCAAAATTGTGCTAGTTAAGCTCAAAAAAAAAAAAAAAAAAAAAGCTGATCCTTGGTGTTCATATACAGGTGATGAAGATTTGGTTAAACGTATACAAGCAAGTGTGTGCTTGGGGAGAACTGGAGGAAAGTTCTAGCAAGTTGACAGCAGTAGGGCCAAGATGGCAAGAGAGGGCCACACCAATGGCTATAAACTTGGAAAGAAAAGGCAACCCAATGAATCTGTTAAATAGAAAGGTTATTTTTTAGTCCTATTATCAGAATCAGTTATTTGGAAACTATTCGCTCAATTCCTAACTTACCCCTTTTTCTGAGAGGTTCAGTGTAAGCAAATGCAAGGTCCTGGTATGGGATGATTTCCAGTCCACAGGCATTACGTTTCCATAATTATCTGTCAGGGCATTCCAAATCCTTGAAAAGAAGAAAACTACAATCAATGAAAGTTAACATCCCACATGTCTTTTGTTAAACAAATACCAAAACTATTGTCAAAGAACAAAAAATGTCAAAGCAAAACAATGGAAGGCCTCCTGTTTTCCAGAAAAATACCAACAAAGAAGAGCCCCCTGAAGAAGACTGAACAACAATCAGATCATTGGGCTGACAAGAAGTGCTGAGGAAAATGCAGTGGTATAAAAAACTCTCTCAAAGTCAACAGCTCACATTTCCACAATACTAGGTGCCAGGCACTGTCCTAAGCAATTTACATACATTAACTCATTTAATCCTCAAAAACAATTATGAAGAGCCATTATTATCCCCATTTCACAGAGGAGGAAACTAAAATACAAGGAGCTTCTGTAATGTTTCCAGAGCCACGTGGGTAGTACATATGCTGGGTTTTACACTTATTTATTGATCATTTCATAGGGTGAATAATCTTTCTCTAACCCAAAATGTGTTATCCTTCCTGGAGAAAGAATTCAGTCTCAATGTGAGACTGGGCTTTAATATCTATTTTGTAATATAATAGGCTAAGCACTAAGACAGATAAAATGAAGGAGGAAAGAAAGGGGAGTTCACAATAAAATGCACAAAGGTTATAGCCAATGCAATCACCCTTCCTTATTGTCAAACAGCATTTTGGGGAAGCAACAGAGTAAAATGAAAGGGTGCTTGACTAAAATCAGGAAACACAGACTCTCGTTTCCTTTCTTCTTCAAACACTGAGTCTTTGGCCATGTTCCTTAACCACTCTAGGTAAGAGCTGCCCTTCTATAAAATGCGAGGCTTGAGTAACAGACATTCCTTCCAGCTCTATTACTCTTAAGCATTATTTCAAATGAGCTGTTTTGAGGAAAGTTCCAAGCCACACTGGATAAGGACAGCAAACTCCAACTTCATGACCAAAATTCAGATTTAGTACCCAAGTAATAACAGCATAATAAAACATGACATTGTATTAAAAAATGACTTCAGAGATATAAATGAGATGAAATTTAATTGGGGTAAATTAAACACTACATATATAAGCTACTAAATGAGCAGAGATACACAGATGTTATAAGAAACAAAAAACTAAAATATATGGCAGATATCTAATCATGAATAAGCCATTAAATAACTGAGTGGGTTTTTTTTTTTCCAAATGTGTAAGCCACTAAGAGACAAAAACAAGACCACTGGAGGTATAAAAATAAGATTGCAAGCTTAAAAATAAAGAAGCAATATACTTGAATTAATGAATTTGGGATTTGGTGCTAAAGAGAAGAAGCAATGGGACCATAACTGCCAAAAACATAAAATCCCAAAATGATGTTTGGCTTTGGAATGCACATTAGCCTCAATGAAAATGTGAACCCAAAAAGCTCTAGGAAACTGGCTTGTTTACCCAGCACATCGCCCATATGCATAGTTCATTCCTATTCTCCTGTTAGAATCACAACCTTCTCCAATGCCAAAACACTCCAACTGGAGGCAACAACTCTGACTGCTAAGCTTGCTGAGTTTCTGACCCACACCTTCCTGGGTAAAAGACTTTCAGATACTGAATAACTGACTATATACCTAACCCTGGTTAGGAACTTGAGTAGGATATTCTAGTAGGTGAAGACAGTACAGGGTTTTAGGGACTGCTTGTTTGCTTCTTCTTAAATGAGGCTGGAAGAAGAAGACGAGTGGCATACTTCACCCAGTAGGAGAGACTGTGGGTGAATTTGATCTTCCAAGAAAGTGAAGGACAATTAACAGTCCTCTAGCTCCACCAAGGTCAGAACAATTACAGTTGGAAGGACACAGGGCTGAATTAAGTGAAAGATTTCTAGAATTCTCCAGTCAATACATGAATTGCCTTTATCTTTATCATAAAGTATTACAAGCAGTCATAAACAACCAGCAGGAAAGCTTATTTCCAAAGAGGCCAAAGTCCTGTGACATTGAATCCCATGTGATACCCTTCTAAAGCAAAACCATAGCAAATAAGTGCAATCCATATTTAACCAAAACTAAAAGTGGGGCTCACAGAAGTTAAATAAAGTGCCCTAAGCCAATGCAATATCTGAGTGAAAGAATTCTCAACTCTCTCTACTGAGAGGAGCAGGGATGGACTCTACCAAGCAATGGAGAGATGCATGCAACAGAAAAGGGACAGTGAGCAGTGACCAGCCCTGGCCCCTGAAAAGAGAGAAAGAGATTTGTTATGCATTCCCAAATCAAGAATCATGCATTACTACCAACATATCATCTACTAAAAACCATTATCAAAAGTAACAAAATATTTTTTTAAGTTTTACATCAACCTAGGATTTAAGCGAAGACTAAAATAAACTACTTTCTAGATAGTACAGGCAAAGCAAAAATAGGGAACCTTAACATTTGTGTACAAACCACTAATATATTCTGAGAAGTTACTCTTGCCAAACCCAAATGCACTGTAACGATCATTTTTTAATCCAGAATTTGTCCTGTGTCCCAATGATTCAGAGTATATAAATCTCTGAATATATATTTATATATATATATATATATATATATATATATATATATGACTATCTTCTCTAGGAATAGATGTTCAAAAATGTCATCTTTTGCTACCAGCTACATACATGGGTATACAAAATCCAATCATAAACTCTTCCTCCACACTGGGCAGAACACTGCAGACGGGTGCCAATGAGACAATATGGTCCCCAAAATAGCTAGGCCTGAACCACTGCTAAGCCATGGCCCTCATTCTCAAATCCCTCTTCTCAAGCTTCCTCCTACCTTGTTCACAGAGGAAAGGAGACCATCAGGCTGGAAAGCCCTTTCTATGCCTATGGATCCTTCTCTATCTCGCAAGAATCCTTTCCTAACCTCGAACCTCTGCATTCCATCAGGGCTCTAAAAACCCATCCCCTACCCAGGGCCACAGTGTTTCACTCCTTGTACCCGCAGCTTCTCCACGGCTCCTTTCCCCAGACCTATACAATATGCTCGGCTCCCTCACTTTCACCATTCCTTTTACTATCCTTTGGGGGTGACACCCTGGTACATAATTATAACCCTTATTTAGCCAAATTATAACTGGGGTTCATGATAGTCAAATAAAGTGCCCCCCCCCCCAGGAACTCTGCCTCTCCCTTACCCAGCTCGCACAATTCCGTATGAATGTCCTATCACTGCACTTAGATGATTCTGTAATAACTACCTGTTCGTACATGCGTTGTCCCACCAGACTAGGAAATCCTTGCTATTAATAACACAGCCTTTCTCCCGGTTTTTTGTGGGTTTTTTTGTTTTGTTTTGTTTTGTTTTTGGCCTCTGTGGGGATATGCACTCCACCTGGGCTCTCAGATGGAGCCAATAAATTCCTGTGGCATAAATGCTGCTTCAGCGTTGGTACCTTTGCACGTGCTACATCGGCGAGCTGCAATGCTAGACCTTTCTTCATCTGCCAGGCGAACTCCCACTCATCCATCAGGATCCAGTTTGCACATTTCTTTCCCTGTGAAGCCTTTGCTGGCTCTCCCACACACCCTTTTAAATCTCCTATATTTCGCACGTATGTCTAGGAGAGCATTTGTTACACCCATACAAATTATTTGTTTACAAATCCAGCCCCCCTCCTAAGTTGTGCCCTACGTGAGAGGGGTGTGTTCAGTCACCTCGGTATTCCCAGCGCGAAGCAGCCTCCGGCACTTGGCGCTTAAATAAATGCTAGTTGAATGAATGAGTGGCTACACACGTGCCCGAGGAGGTTCAGTATCTAACTACCTGGCCCGTGGAAGGAGGTTCCCCTCTGAACCCAACCTGGGTCGGTTTCTAGGGAGCAGGAGGAGGAGGGCAGTGGCGGAGGGTGAGGGAGCGTGGAGCGCAGGGGAGCTGGGGGATTTAAAGCGCTGAGCGCCCAGAGGCCGAAAACCCCAGGGGGCGCCGCGGGGGCGCAGAGAGGGCGGGGACTCGCCAGTCGGAGGAGGCGGAAGGAGGGCGCGGGGAGGAGCCTGGGGCCGGAGTCCCGCCGAGGCAGCAGACAGAAGGCCAGAGGGCAGGACGAGGGCCGCGCGAGGGGCAGGGGAGGCTCCCGCCCGCTCCCGGCCGGGCCCGCACTCACTCGTCCCCCTGCAGGAGGCTGCACTCGGTGATGGGCCGCACGGCCGCCCGCGGGGGCTCGGCGCCCGGACCCGAGGGGCGGAAGCACAGGCTCAGCTTCTCCTCCAAGCTGCAGGCCAGCGCCGGGAAGCCGTCGCCTCCCCCGCCCGGCCCTGCGCCGGCCTCGGGGCTCGCGTTACAGTTCTCCTCGTCCTGGAGGCTCCGGGCCGGTTCCTGGAACTCATAGAAATCCTGCCAGTCCCCGTCCGCCGCCATCGCCGCCCGGCGCAGTGGCGCGCCCCGCCCCGCCAGAGGCCCCGCCCCGCAGGCCCCGCAGGCCCCGCCCCGCCTCGGGCCCCGCCTCCTCCGTCCACCTACCACGTGGATCTGCCCCAGCCGCGCAGCCTCGGGGTCTTCCCTTTTCCTGAGGCTTCTCACAGGTGATTGCGGTCTCCTTAGAATGAAAAACTTTATTTACGTTGAGTCACTTTCTACAGTTCGTCACTCAGGAATGGCTTCCCTTAGTGGGAAACTGGCCTAAATGTGTCTAAAATAAAGGGCTTCTTTAAAGTTGCAACCTAGGGGCGCCTGGGTGGCTCAGTCGTTAAGCGTCTGCCTTCGGCTCAGGTCATGATCCCAGGGTCCTGGGATCGAGCCCCGCATCGGGCTCCCTGCTCGGCGGGAAGCCTGCTTCTCCCTCTCCCACTCCCCCTGCTTGTGTTCCCTCTCTGGCTGTCTCTCTCTCTGTCAAAAATAAATAAAAAAAATATTAAAAAAATTAAAAATATTAAAAAATAAAGTTGCAACCTAGTGTCAAATTATGCCCCCCGGGAGAAACCGGATCCTTTTGTAACTTTGCAACCAGAAGAGCAAGCAGAATCACTTGGAAATGCTTAAGTCCTACCGAAATTCGTTCCACAAATATTTTATATCTAATACACGCAAAGCACCTTCTAGACCCTGGGGAACATACAAAGATGAATAATTATGTAAATCAATATTTGCGAAGCACTTGGAACGGCGTTGGGGAAGGTAACTGAAAAGATGTAACTGCCAGTTGACCCCTGAGCTCGACCCAGGCGCTGGAGGTCTCTTCACCCCTGCCCCTCTCCTTGGAATGGGAGTTCCACTTGCCTTTCCTTCTCCCAGAGGCTGCTCCAAGGACAGAGCCTTCAGCTGGTATGTTGAGAACACTGGCAGAGCATACCATGAATGAACCCAGTTAGGGCCTCTTAACAAACTTTTAAGATCTGGCAGGTGGGTGTGGGGATCTATTTGTCTTGCTGTCACCAAAGGCAAGCCTCCTATGTATGTAAGTTCCCTTTGCTTATTAAAACTGCTGTCTGCCAACTTGGAGTGGCCCCCTCTTTCTTAGCTCTTTCCCTGCCCTCCCCTTAAGGAGGCTGATTTCAGATTACATCAGGGAAGCTCCCGAGAGTGTTGCAAACCAACAAACTGGGATGAACTTTGTAAACATTGTGCTAAGTGAAGCCAGAGACGAAAGGACAGATGCAGTATAATTCCACTTATATGAGGTAGTCAAAATCAGAGACAAAAAGTAGAATGGAGGGGCGCCTGGGTGGCTCAGTTGGTTAAGCGACTGCCTTCGGCTCAGGTCATGATCCTGGAGTCCCGGGATCGAGTCCCGCATCGGGCTCCCTGCTCGGCAGGGAGCCTGCTTCTCCCTCTGACCCTCCCCCCTCTCATGTGCTTGCTCTCTCTCATTCTCTCTTAAATAAATAAATAAAAATCTTTAAAAAAAAAAAAAAAAGTAGAATGGAGTTGCCAGGGGCTGGGGGAGGGGGAAATAAGGAGTTAGTGTTTCATGGGTACAGTTTCATTTTGGGATGGTAAAAAATTCTGGACTTGGATGGTGGTGATAGTTGCACATGAACGTACTTAATGCCACAGTATACTTAAAATCTGTTAAAATGCTCATTTTTATGCTATGTGTATTTAACCACAATTTTTTTCTAAAAAGGCGTGGCTTTATTAAATCACTTGTTAGAACTGCCCTGTACAGATGTGCCTTGTTTATTTAACATCTCATCTCCTTAAAAGTGGATCCAAATCAGACATTTAAAATTAGTTCATGCATTGTCCATGGTAATTATTGAATAATTGCTAACTTATCGATCATCTCTTCCACTTTACCGTTTGATTGAAACTGGATTTTATGCAATTATGTCAGTTAACTTCACTTCAAAGTAATCCAAGATTAATAAAATAGACTGTTAATTTGAAGACTTAAGTCGGAGGGACTCATTCTGAGGAGAAGAAATTCAGTGGAGATGGGAAATCTCTCTGGCCCACACAGGAAAAAAGGTGAAGGAAAGAGAAAAAGGTGCCAACCTTCAAGAACACTAAGTCCACTTCCTATTGAACTGGGAGGAAAATGAATGAAAAAATAAAAGTTAAGAAAGCTCTGTTGAGCACAATGACACACTGTCAGAAGGTGACACCAGGGAAGACCGACAGCGTGCATTCAGGAGACCAGGTGGCATCAAGAGGTGCCACCAGTCTATAGAAAGGAATAGACGCAGGGCGCCTGGGTGGCTCAGTCGGTTAAGCGACTGCCTTCGGCTCAGGTCATGATCCTGGAGTCCCGGGATCGAGTCCCGCATCGGGCTCCCTGCTCGGCGGGGAGTCTGCTTCTCCCTCTCTCTCTGCCCCTCTCCTCCACTCATGCTCTCTCTCTGGCATGGCAGCTCTCTCTCTCTCTCTCAAATAAATAAATAAAATCTTTAAAAAAAAAAAAAAAGAAAAAAGAAAGGAATAGACGCAGACAATTCAGGGGAGTTTGCAAAGAGAAACCAGGTGGCTTGGGTCACATTTGGATGAGATAAACTGGTTCTGTAAGTGATTTTACTTTTTGTCTGATCCCTGGCTCACCTGTTACATATTTAATGTTGCCCATATGCATTACATTCTATTTTCCGGTATACTTATTAATATAAATTTCTTATAAGGGTATTGGTCCCAAATTTTCCATAGTCTTGAGAGTGTTAGGACAAGGGAAACATAGCATCCAGAAATATTCCACAAAATCAACCAGAGTCCCCCAAAATTTGCAAAGATGAGCGTGCTACAAGAATGAGCATTAAAATGGAAGTGCCCTACTTCTTTGGAGTTGTATTTTCTCAGGTCCTTCTTTTTTATTCTTCTCCCTCCAAGGTTTTATTTCCAGAGATGTTAAAAATTTCTTTGCTATAAATAAATAAAATCTTTAAAAAAAAAAAAAAAAAGCCCTTCCCCCTGCTTGTGTGCTCTCTCTCTCTCTCAAATAAATGAAATCTTTAAAATTTCTTTTGCTATCTTTGGAGAAGGAAAATTTTGTTGTGAGTGGGGTTGTGATGGCTGAGACTAAGGGATGCCTGTTCTACACGTAGTACTATATTTTGAAAGCTATAAGTATAACAGGATTTTCTTTGTTTTTTTAAGAGCAGTCAAAATTTCTTGTCATCAAAAGAGCTGCACCATATTGCTGCATCAAAATAGCCTCATCAAAAAGTTATGGATCTAATATCACTTCACACCTGTCAAAATGGCTAAAATCAAAAACACAAGAAATAACAAGTGTGGGCAAGGATGTGGAGAAAAAGGAAACTTCATGCACTGTTGGTGGGAATGGAAATGGGTACAGCCACTGTGGAAAACAGTGTGGAGGCTCCTCAAAAAATTAAAAATAGAACTACCCTATGATCCAGTAATGACACTACTGGGTATTTACCCCCAAAATACAAAAACACTAATTCAAAAGGATATATGCACCCCTATGTTTATTGCAGTATTATTTACAGTAAGCAAATTATGGAAGCAGCCCAAATATCCATTGATAGATGAATGGATAAAGAAGATGTGGTATATATACAATAGAATATTATTCCATAATAAAAAAGAATGAAATCTTACCATTTGCAACAACATGGATGTAACTAGAGAGTATAATGCTAAGTGAAATAGATCCATCAGAGAAAGACAAATACCATATGATTTCACTCACATGTGCAATTTAAAAAACAAAACAAACGAAAAAAGGAAAAAGAGAGACAAACCAAGAAGCGGACTCTTAATTACAGAGAACAAACTGATGGTTATCAGAGGGGGGTGGGGGGAATAGGTGAAATAGGTGAAGGGGATTAAGAGTACATTTATCATGATGAGCACTGAGTAATGTATAGAACTGTTGCATCACTATATCATAGACCTGAAACTAATATAACACTATGTTAACTATACTGGAATTAAAATTAAAAACAATAAAAAATTTTTAAAAAGCTATGTATCTAAATAAATAAACCACTTAAGTCAAATAAAGGTTGGATCTACAAAAACAAAACAATGTGGTCTATTAAGATAATTGTTTGCATAATTTAAGCAAACACACACTTAATTGCTCAATTTTCCACTTGACTAGGGTAGACACAGAAGTGAATTGTTTCTAATCTGATATTAGATGGTTAAGACTAGTTGTCTTGGGAATTCCTTGTTATTTTTTAAAGAAAGAAATGCTACTTTAATTAAATGTTGTAGAAAGTAATCGTTAACTCTGAAGGACTGATTTGCCCTTTGGAAGACTGAGAATTCCAATGGACTGAATTAGCATCAGTGCCTAAATGTCAGGAGCTCGGTCATCCCCTGTGGTCTGCCTGCAGGACTCTAGGTCACTGGGTGAGGGTGTGCTGGAGGGGGCCAGCACCCTCAGGGTTGCATCTAGGGGCCAGAAAACCCCAGCCTCAGCCTTCTCCTCCTGTTATGGACTGAATAAGGTTCCCTCAACATTCCTATGTTGATGTCCTAACCCCCAGTACCTCAGAATCTGACTATATTTAGAGATAAGGTATTTAAAGAGGTGATTAAGTTAAAATGAGGCCATTAGGGTGCAGCCCTAATCCAATCTGATGGTATCCTTATAAGAAAAGAAGGAGATCCTGGGGCATGTCCACACAACATAAAGACCATGTGAGGACACAGCAAGATGGCAGCCATCTGCAAGCCAAGGAGAGAGGCCTCAAAAGAAACCAACCCTGCTGACCCTTTGACCTTTGCCTTCCAGCCTTCGGAACTGTGAGGAAATAAAGTTCTGTTGTTTGAAGTCACCTGGGCTATGGTATTTTGTTATGGCAGTCCTCATAAACTAACATGTCTCCCAAAGTCACCTCAGTGGTTTCTGGGAGTCCCCACAGGGCACCTCACTTGAGCTCAGGACTGACAATTCTGTTCCTTTCTCTGGCTTCCTTGTCACCCTTGAGTATTGGTCTTTCCTAGAAATAACAATAACAAGATGTTAAATGGGTGACTCACTAATTAA